GTCCTTCAAATACTTTCTGGCTTTTTCAACACCTTTGTCAGAGGGGGTCTGTTTCACAATCCTAGCATATCTCTTTGCAGCTGCTTCAATCTCACATAACTTTTCTCCGGGTATTCTATTTAACTTCAGTTCAGACAAAAAACTATCAATGTCAGCAAGGAAGTAAATTTCATTGAATTTGTCTCGTACCGGATGTTTTGGTCCAAAACTTAGGACTTCCCGCACCCAAAGCGGCAAAATCACTTCATCTAAAATTCTAACTGCCCTTTCATCCAAGTTTTTTAATGGTCTATCCTGTCTTTCCAAAAGTTTTTCAAGCTTTCTCTTGTGTCGGCTTTTTAGATTATTGACACTACACCTTGCGTGCCGGTTCAGATAGAATATTACCGAAGGCCACCACTTCTTATCTATACCCCTTCTCACTACCTCTCTTGCTTTTACTAGGTTACCCGATGCCTTGGCCCTATCCGCACTTGCCTGGCTTAGCTCAGATCTTATGAGTCTCTGTTGGAAGCTGTGCACCGCTTCAGCCGAAAGAACACCGTTATCAGGCACGCGAAACCGTAAAAAGTCTGGTATAATGTCGTTATCGAGACATTTTCTCAGAAATTTAATTCTCAGGAAACTGCTATTAAATTTATTAAAATGTCTCAAATTATCTAATACAAGTTTCCAAGTGAGTTTTCTTTTCAGGACCATTCTAAGGAGTGGTGGTGGCAGCAAAATTGGGGTCATCTGATCTTTGCAGGCCACGAGCACTTAAACTCATGTGGCACTCAGCAAAGAAAAAACAGCCACAACAAAATCTTACCCCCTATTGGTCGTTCGGTTCCGACTGGAAGTCGCCAGCCAACACCTCCGCGCCTTCGCCCTGCGGCGTCCCTGCGATGGTTTCTTGGTCTGGCCTCGTATCCCTGAGAAGATGCCTGGCAGGTGGTCTCGATGGGACAGCACCACCCGGAGTGACTTCAACTCCAATTCACTTGACTGGTGCAGTTGAAGATACTCTCTGAGGACCGCAGGAGTCTGTCTCTTCCTTCAAGAGATAAGGCAACAGTTGTTTTTATGACGATTATCTCTGTGTTCCGCAGATCCTCAAAAATATCGGGAGTGCCCGTTCAGCGAGCGCGTTCAGAGTGCCCGTTAAGCAGAATCGCTTTGGAACAGGAGAGGATGAGACAATTGAGAAAGAAGAAGACGTGCGACATCATGCTGGGGGCATGCCCCTGTTAACTGACCTGAGCCTGGCCATGAGGACCGATCACTTAGCACTGATCAGAGGAGCCACGGAGTTCGTGACGGTGACCTACGGTCCTGCAGTCACGTTTGCGTTCCCTGACGTTAAGGATGGGGCATACAGGAGGTCGGTGTTGCGCCTGAACCTCATATCAGCAGTGGACGGAAGTGCACTTAACTGGTGTGAACAGCACGCACTACGAGAAATGATGAGTGAAGACTTGTTGTTCGCAAAAATCTCAGAGCCGAAGATGACTGTCATAAATTTTGATGAGCACTTCCGTAATCGTATTGGAGAAGAGGATAGAGGGCACGTCGAAGTTTTCCCGAAGCTCTGGAATCTAAGGCCCTACAATAAGACGAACGGCGAGATTAAAAGAGTTCCTCGTCCGTCTGCATCATATCGCAAACTGAGAGAAGAAACGAAGGGCTGTGGTGACTACAAGAAACCGCCAGAAAAGATCCTTGAATTTCCCTTTTTGTTCAAATATTGAAGGAATTGGAAGGGTCTGGGGATATAATTCCGAACTGTTGTTTTAATAACTTTTAGCTTCCGGAGACGTCCTGAAAGTGTAACATTCGCCCGGAAGATACATATCGACGTAAAATAAAACTAAGTCCTAAGACGACTGGCTAACGCCTAAACAGAGCTTTACATGCTTTTAACCGTCTCTACCAAGCCAGTAATTTCGGTGGTCTTTCTAACATCGGGTCGACAAAAAACGTTACTGCTTTCGGCTTCGGTCAAAACACTCAAATTAACTTAATTACATGCAGAAATAGTGAGCTCATGGTCACTCCTAAAATCAGGGCTACTACTATTTATTGAATTATTATTGTTTTTGTTCAGTAGATAAAAATCATCATCTCCATCGAAGATGGATCAACCCTTTCCCCCAACTCCTAGCTTCTCATCTTAGTAGAATGAATTCGGATGTTAATTAAATTCAATTCGGGACATGACAGGGAAGCTAAAAGTTCACATAAAATGATAAAAGTTTCAGTCCCGAAACCCCTCCGGATTCTCGAATCCACTGAATCAAGCACGTTAAGCTTGATTTCGCTGTAATCCGGAAGGCTGGTTTCCACCCCTCACTGTTGTTAGCAACTGCTTTGCAACTATTGTAGCGACACAATAGTTGCAACTTGGAGCGGTCTCTGCTACATCCGCTTTTCTCCGATTCTGATTCTCAATTTTCTTGTTGTTGTCGTCGTCGCAACTATCGTTGTTGTATTGGTTTTTAGCTTTTCTGCCAAAATGGCCGTTTTTGACGTTTCTTAGAATTGTTACGTCATCACTTCGAAAATTTAAAATTTAGGAATTTCCGAATCCTTCAGCCTTCACGATTTGTCCAATGGCTCGAATAACGTTCTTATTCCTTCTAAATCGCCAATTCGGAAGGTTCGCTGCTAAAAACTCCGAGACTGCAGAGATTGCATTTTGTCCATTTTGGTCGAATGTCACAAAGTGCAATTGACCATTTCAATTCGGATTTCGCAAAAACATTTCAACACAAGATGCTCTTGTTTATGTGACAGAAAGTATTCGAAATCAAATAGATTCAAAAAAAATCGTACATGCAGCTTTATTAGATCTGTCCAAGGCTTTTGATTCTATTTCGCATGAAGTTTTAATTGAAAAAATGCTTTCTCTCGGTTTTTCAAATGGAGCAAATGCTTTAATTGCTAGCTTCCTAAACAAACGTATTCAAAGAGTAAACGTCAATGGAATTTTTTCAGACTGGATTGAAATAAAACGAGGTGTCCCACAAGGAACGGTACTTGGTCCGTTGTTGTTCAATATTTATGTTAATGACATACAAGAGCGATTATATGAGGGTTGTACTTTAGTTCAATATGCTGACGACTGTATGGTTTTTTCCTCTTCTATAATTTCTGAGGATGCTTTGAATCGATTGCAAAAATCACTCAATAATCTAACGGAATTTTTTGCAGAGAACCAATTGAATCTGAATGCATCTAAATCGGAATTTATAACATTTTGTCAAAAAAATGATAGCAAAAATGTGGATACTGATAAACTAGTAATTAGTGGGCATTATGTAGCCAAAAAATCAGAATGCAAATATTTAGGCATAATTCTTGATTCAAGTTTATCTTTTCATGCTCAAATCAAAACAATTCTCCAAAAAATGGCCCAAGGGATTAAAACTATTGATACAATTGGACAACAACTGCCGACATTATCATTAGTTGCCTTGCTTCATTGTCTTGTTTTATCACATTTAGATTATTCAGCAATTTTTTTACAGCAAATTAATGCTACTTTGATGCTATCTCTGGAGAAACAGTTGAACTGGGCGCTAAAAAGAACATATTTCAGATCGAATTTTAAATCTTCTTCCCTTCTTCGCATTAGCAAATCGTTCATTGGAATCGAGAAAAGAATTGAGTTAAAGTGTATAACATACTTATACCAATATCTTACAAACAAAAAGAAGGCTTTTGAAAATACACTGAGACTACCGACTGCCAATTATAGGCTCAACGAAAGAACGAAACAAATTATTTTTGACAAACATTGTTCGACTGCTTCTCTACAAAAATCATTTTTTCATTTGACTTCTAAAAAATGGAATTCACTGCCCATAATTTTGCGCAATTTAGAAAAATCGAAAACAGAATTCAAGAAAAAATTGAAAGAGTTTTACGTGAGTGAATTGAGAAACAATCCTATATGTACTAATACAAATACGTGGCGTGATTACCGTTTTTGCTAGTTCTATATTTTTTAATTCAGTTTAATTTTTCACACATTGCTTGAAAGAGAAACTGTATATACTCTGCATATACGTTGTATAATTGGACTATCTGTAAAATTGTTTGTAAAGTTTTATTACCAGCTTGTTCCTAATTCTTAAATCTTTAATTTTCTATAGTATCCGAAACTTCATATACTTTAATCAACCAATTTCCGAACTGTAACCGATTTTGTTTTTTTTTGTTTTGTTTATTGCTTGTTTTCTGATGTTTTGTTTTTGTTTGATGTAACCAATGAATTTATAACCAATTTTATTATTTACACTTTGCTACACTGATGCCTCGGCTTTTTATTGTATAGTAATTCAAGTGTTCTTTCTTCTTCTTCTTCTTCTTGTCCATTGTTATTGAGGGTGGGAATGTTATTCAAACCATTTGTTTTAAAAAATCATAATTTTTTTTTCCTTAAATTAGTCTGCTCAAAGGTTCCCGGCTTTGTTTCTTTTCGTTAATTTTGTTCCGTTGTTGCTGATTTAAAATTCAAGTTTTTTTTTTAAAAAAAAAAGTAACCAGAAGGTCTTAAATGTCATAATAACCGAAGTTACAATCAGACGTCTCTTCATTATCCAGTCAAAATCCTAGGAATTTTCTAGATTGGAAGAGTATAATGTTGATAGAAGTAAAGCGAGTCTGATGATTGGGGATCAAGCCGACCAGATTTAGAAAATCCAAGTGTCTGGCATGTTTGCTTTTAGTGTTGTATCGCATTTGTTGTATCGCATGTATTGCATCGCATGTGTTGTATCACATTTTTTTTAGTGTTGTATCGCAAGTGGTGCGAAGCTCCGCTTCGCCTCAGTGTGAAATATTTTTTTTTACTTTTGCTTAAGGCAACAACTGGAAGGCTGTCAAGTTAAATTCTTGCTTTGGTTTTAGTTACGAAGTTATTGTAAGCTACTCGAATTTGCCTTAAACGTGTAGCGATGGCTGCTGATGGGATCTCTGTTTGCTTCGTATCATTTTTTGTTTTCTGTTTCAGACACAATGATAAAATCTCTAGAAGCTTCCGACATTCACAGCCTTTGCTCAGGTCAAGTTGTATCATCAATTGCTTCCTTGGTTAAAGAGTTGCTAGAAAATAGCGTCGATGCAAAAGGTAAACGGTTAGTCAATTTATGGTTATCTTGAGATTATGCATGTTCATTTCTATTTGTCGTGTAACCATGATGTTAATCACACTTGCGAGAGCAAATGTCTTACAACCTGGAACTAGACTTTTTTCCCGTAAACAAGTTCTTACAAGAAATTGGCTTGCTTTTTTAGTGCACCCCAACAACTTCCAGGTTCCTTCATAAATAGCCTGGGTAAAACGCGGTTATTTTTGCAGCCTGAGGCCTTGGGTTTGAGCCCCGGCAGAACCTTGTTTTTTCATTCAGTATGTATGCTATTGAAAATTTTTCTCCGGTAAAAATTGAATTGGCTTGCTCCCGTTTGCAGGATTGCTTGATTGAAATCAATTGATTTAAATCCGATTTGAATCTTGATTTTAATCAGCTTTTGTTTGGTTTAAATCCAAGGTGAAAAAATGCTACTTTTCTCAGTTGGAGTAGTTTTTCCCACCAATTATACGCCAAAGTTTTGTAAAACTGGTCTTTAGTATGAAAGTGCTAAACCAAAACTGAAAATTGATCAACTGTTTCCTTGATGCCCCTCCATTTCAATAAATTTTCGAACCCTTCGTGTGATTTTTCTAAGATGCTCGATCGTTTTTTGAAAAAATCGGATTTAAATAAAAAATCGAATTAGATAAAATATTTTGATTTTTTATTTAAATCGGATTTTTATGCAAATCTGTTCGTTTGTCTATTCAATTGCTGTCGGCTTAGATGCCACATTAAAGGTTTTTCTTGTGCTGTTTGCAAATATCATGGTATTTGCAAATGTTTTTCCTTTTAGTTCCCGGGGGTATAGAAACTGTTCAATTTTTTAAAAATAAAAATCGATTTTTCTTCGGCTCAACTGGTGTCTGATTGAAGATTGTCTGCTTTGCAAGTTTTGCTGCATTGGTATTTTAAAATATAAGTGTCTTGTTTGGCATGATAAACCAGATATCGTATTTGATAAATGCAGTATAATGAAAATGTGAAAATGTATGTGATGGGTTTCTATTTTAATTTTTTTTGACGCTTTCGATTTTTTTTAGCATTTTTTTCTTAAAAAATACTCCGTCGATTTTCAAAACAACACTGTCAATGGAAAGACTGCTTTCTTCTTTGTGTGCCTGCATATCCCGATTAATTCTTTTTTACTTTACCCACTGTTTTAGAGCCTTCGAAAAATCCAGTGGGGTGCATATTTGGCCCATACTTTTTTGATCTTTTTTTTCTCAAAAACTAACATACCAAATAGGATTTTGGTTTCAATGGACAGAAATTATTGTTGGAATCTCTCCTGAGGAGGAGCTACGCCCAAATTTTTCTACAAAATTTATGGCCTTTGGAGAAGTCAACTTTCTGATTTGTTGACCTTTTGTAAAATGTTATGACAGTTTTCGAAACCTACAATTTTGGCAATGTTCTATTTTTAAGCGTCCTCCACCTTCTTTTTGCAAAAAAAGTTATGGATTTCGGAAAGTATTTGTTGTTGCTTTTTGGATCATCTTAAAGAAAACTTTTGATTTTTAGAAGCTACCTTATTAAATCTGAGATGAAGGTTTCAATCGAAAGAAGTTATTGAGAGATTGGTTCCTGTAGAAGCTACGACTACTTAATTTTTTTGTAATAAAAACGTTGTGTCCTTGGGGAGAATTCCAATATCTCAAAAATGTTCACTCTTCTCAATTATTTTAGTAGATTTTAACTAGGGATTTGGGCAAATTATTAAATTTATCCATTTCATCCTCATGATCATATTAAGTTCCAGATATACCAAAGAGCTGCATTTGAACCTATAGTTATCTTTTATTGCGACATTCGAAAATTTTGATTCACCTAGTTTTTTGAACATTTCTTTTGTTTTGACTTATTATTTTTTAAAATGTTTGTTATGTATCAGAAGTAGAACGATGCTTTGCTTCGCCTCGAACTTGATACGATTCGCTTTTGTATTTCAAATGATAGATTCTGCAGTTTTTAAAAAGATAAGATTAGTTGAGAATTATCAAATGTCAATTTAGAATTTTTCGGGTTAACAGTTAGTTTAACAAAATCAGTGAATCATTTGGTAAGTTACTTTAAATGCATATCAAGTTCGTGGTACGGAATTGGCGGCCTTTTCAGTGTGGTGTTAACTTTCATGCTTGAGACGACGAACGTGCTTTGTTCGAATCCGGCCAGGACCTGATTTCGCTGACAAAAATTTTTCCGCGCAACAGAAAATCTTGAGTGTTGTTCGCCTTCTTATCTTTTGTCGGCTTAGTTGCAACAACACGAAAAGCGTTTTACTTGATTTAAGCATTTTCCTTATGATTCAAACCCCTTTCATTCTACTGGGGTTTTTATACAAGTAGTTAAGTTCAAGAAAAATTGCGGCGGAGTTTCTTTCTATTTGGTTTCACGATTTTAGGAATCTTTTTTTTTGGTAAATGTTTTGTGTCCTCGGATTCTTTTCTATTCCAAAGAAACTATTGATTGGCGGCTTGATTCTTTCTGATTAAATCATTTGAAAAATCTATAAGTGCCAGTGTGTGGGCGTAAAACTTTTTCTGATTTTCTTTTCGCATAATTTTTATTCGCTCGATTTGATCAACCTAATTCTTGCAATATTATGAATTTTTTGGAAAAATAATTCGAGGAGATCAGGCTATTTCCATGAAAACTGCAGCGGCCCAGCGTTTAGAGGTGATCATTACGGCGGTAATCATTATTTGTTCTCACTGCACCTTTTTAAGTTCCATAGCTACTGACACTCAGCCAAACTTATTTTTTTTTGGCGAAATTTACGCCCAAGTAGTTAGCTGGGAGCCAGTTTTCTTAATTATTTGGTAAAAGAAAACCTTATAAAAATTAGGACAAATTTTTTCTCAAAACACTTCATAGAAACTCTCAACAGAACTCTTAAACCTGCTGATCGAAAGTCAAGAAAACACATTTGCAATGCGCGGAGCAATGATATTCCAATGTTTTCTGTTATGCAAAGTCGAGATTGATAGGTCCTCATCAAAACCATTGCGATACGACTTAAACTGGAAAAATGAAGATCTGATTGATCTATACATCGAGGGAAAACCCTTAAAACCAATAGTAGAGCTCAATCCAGAAATGCTAAAACCATATATGGTATGAAGGCTAATGCGACTGAACAGAAACTTATTTGCAAAATAATGGACCGAACGATAACAAATGCTTCACGATGTTTGGATTGAAATACACCCTCTGTCTAGGACAAGAGTGTGGCACCGAATATGCTCTGCATACGCCCAGGAAACAATACCGAAAATGGGTATCACCTCCGGTCTGCTGATAGAAGCTTAAAATATCTACAATTAGTTTATCTAAAACTTGAAAACATTGGTCCATCCTACTAGCAGTAATAAATTAATCATATTATCACACATTCAAACTCAAAGAAATTGTAGTCCATAAAAAGGAGTAACTCAGGGAAACCCACAAGCATTAGTTATGCACGGTTGGCAGTTTTACCATTAATAAATCTATTAAGTGCAGATCATGTAACATAGAAATGGTATGCGGACGATGCCAACGGAATAGGTAACCCGAAACTTTATTTATCGGATTCCTGATTTAGTGCCTGACGTCCCACTTGTGCTATTGAAAACGAGATTCTCGGAGCCTTTCTCAAGAATTAGTCCACCTCATTTTTATGTGCCAATTCAGTTAAATGATCGATTTTTCAGATTAATGAACGTAGTGATATTTCTATACGTCTTGGTGATTTTTTTCAGGAAAAACTCTTAAAATGCTCTTATGACTAAAGATGTGCATTCATACATATTAATGCATTTATTGATGCACTTATGTATGTATACATTTTTTGAGTTCAATTGAAATTCGTCTGCTGAAAGTTGCGTAAATAGCACTCTCCAAATACGAACGTGGAAATGGCGCAATAAAACGTGAACGATTTCTAGTTTCGAAAGTGGAATATAATTTTAAGATTTCCAGCGGAATAACAACTTTACCTGTTGATCCAGTTTTCTCAAATCGTGTTATTGCTATCAGACAAGTGCCAATCATAAATTGTTTTAGAAGTTCAAAGAGCTTAAAGAGATTTTTTGAACAAAGTTATTGTTTTTTCTGTTTACTTGCGTTCATTTCTCTTTTCCAACTGTCAGTTGTAGTGAAGTAGACCATTTGGAAAACGGTTTTAATAGAAAATTAATAGGAACACGAAATAAAAGTAGTATAATAATTCGAAAAAATTGTTTCTATTTTTTTCAAACTGTTTTTGAAATTTTGATTCGCAAAGTTGCGTTAAAACTCCAGAAACTAACTTTTTTTGAGTAAAATAAAGTTTTCATTACTCAATTTAAGCACAGATAAGCTATTGTAAGCCTGCATGCTCACCTTTTTAGCTCGAAATAAGACCAAAAATCAGAAATTTGAAACTTTTTTTTTTCAAAACTTTTTGTTCGAATCACGACTGACAGGACTTTATTATGATATATAATTCGACCCATTTCGATGATTATTTGTACCTTTTGTATACTTTATTGTATTTGGGTGTCTTTTATTTTTTCTTTTGTTTTCCACGCAAATTTCATCGCAATTTTCAATGGTCGGAACAATTAACCATTGAAATGTGATAATATTTATTTAAAAAGCGTTTTTGTACAGGATTTCGTAGCATTTTTCCAATCATTTTTCACTCTGAGAGACAAATTAGGCCAAGTCTTGCTGATTAATTTTCAATTTCGAGCAGTAAATCTGTACTGGGCGTCATTGAAAACGCATCAGTAAACCTCCTTTCAGAGTTTCCTCGAAGCTAGAGACACTTAAGTTTCCTTGTAAGTTTTAAAAAACTACGACCTAAATTAACCTGGAAAATCCATTTTTGATTCAAAAAAAGGTGTGTTTGTGATTTATCTTTCAAGTGTTTTTAGTTTAGAGACCCAATAAAGGCGAGCTGTTTCCAGTAACGAATCTATTATTATTATTAGAGCAAGCTGTTGGATTTTGAAAAAAAAACACCCTCAAAAAACCTTTGGTTTTTTCAATGTTGCCCAGTACATATATCAGGTTTAACCTGATTAGCCTGCTAGGAGTCTCAAAGTTTTCATGTAATCTTTGAAAAGTTGACTACAACGAAGACAAAAGGAAGTTTGTTCTTTTTTTTCAGACAGATACAAAGTACAACAAGAATATCTGGTCTCATGCATACGCACAGGATGTTCCGACCACAAAGAGTTCTTGCAAAAAGAAGTTTTTTTAATACTTTTGAATGAGTATTTTATTCGAATTGAGGGGAAAGTTATTCATCCAAAAGAAGTTTCCTTGAAATATCAAAATCCAAGACATGTTAAAAAATAGTTTAAAGACTAGCATTCTTAGTTTTCCTCAAAATGAGTTAAGGAGCCAGGATACAAAGCTAGATAAAAACCTTTTGCTTCCTGTCGGAAAGTAAATTATTTTATTTAGAAATTGTAGCTTGGATTGTTTTCAATTTTTGGCGAAATATGAGTGGAGTGCAATCATAATGATTTGCCCAAGTAATAAAGTAATTAGGTAATGTTAAGTTAAATCCAATGGATATTAACTAAAACTTATGACTCTAAACTTATTGCTGTAAACTTCTTGGTCAGAAGTTTACAGAAGTTTATGGTAAATATTCAGTGGTCGGAACAAAAAATTTGTTTGAATTTCATTCACTGTTTTGACCATCTTCATTTTTACGTACATGGTGTTTGCGCTTTCTTTCCAAAAGAGCGTCAGAGTCCTTTTTCTCAATCACTTCGGATTCCTCTTTCTTGTTTTTGCTTCTGTACTTTTTCAGTAAATCGCGACTAGTAATGTAGAGTAAGGCAATGAAGGCCAGCAAGACATTAATGATAAGCCATGAGATAACAATGAGAGTAACGGGCACAGGCAAGTCAGACTGGGAGCAAAACCCAATCATTACCCCGGCCAGAATCAGGAAGTAGAACTGAATCAGGGCCAAGGCAAGCGAGGTGATTGCGAATGCTTTGTGATTGAATCTCTTGATGCAAAATGCATACACCAAAGCTACAATCGATAATGCTAATCCACATAAATTGGAGAAAACTAGAATTACGCGGCCTGCCGCAGCTCTTGATTGTTTCCACGTTTCGGGCTCAGCAGCATGGGCAGATCCTTGGAATATTAATGAGAGCAGCTGTGTTCCGAAAATAACGAGAGCTGCAATTTTAACTCGTTTCTCAGAGCACATGATTGCGATGTGTGAAAAAAATAAACTGATGTGAACACGGAAGTTGTTCACTGCATTTTGCTGAAAAATCGTCAACAGAATCGAAAGACTTTGCAACGATTTAGTTTTCTTTAGTGAGAAAATACAGTAAGATACAAAAATGTCTACCTACATATTCGTAAAAACAATAACAGAAAATGAAACCTTAATTTTTGTTTTGATATATTTTACATTTGGGTTACAGAGTTTTTATTAGAGTGAGAAACTGATTTGAATTTTATTAATTCTAGACAAAGTCTTGCGGATAATTCCCCAGCCAGTTGAAATGACTCCAATCTTCCCAATTTTCAACGTGCCAGTGAGAACGCGGTTCCAAAAAAATGCTGTAAAAAATTATAGGTCACCTGAAACTTCAACTAATTTTTTGAAGCAAAAGTTAGCTAGTTGGAGTGGTAAGTGCTTCACGCAGGAGTTTTTCAAGATATGAAGACAAAACTTGCTTAAAATTTTAGCAGAATTATTATGGTGTAATTTGTTTTGCGAAATTCGGGCCTGAAATTTTACCTCAAAAATGGGTCATTTTGGCTTTTCTTAGTTAATCAAAGTTTATGCCAAAAATACCCAGTCGATCACAGACATAATTATATCAAAGTGAGCCCCTTACGTAGCCCAACAAAGTTTAAGAAGGTTATAATCTCCAAAATGTTGTATAAGTTAATTTATTTTTGTTTGATAGACAAAAAAGGTCATTTTTACTACATAAAATACAAACTTTATAAATGGTTTACAATTGTTTTTGGAGATTATACCCTTCTTAAAGTTTGTTGGGCTACGTAAGGATATAATTATGTCTGTGATCGACTGAAATTTTTTTGGCGTAATTTTTGATTAACTATGAAAAGCCAAAATGACCCATTTTTGGGATAAAATTTTGGGCCCGAATTTTGCGAAACAAATTACACCATAATAATTCTGCTAAAATTTTAAGCAAGTTTTGTCTTCATAAATTTTCTCCTAAACTCAACCCAATTTGAGAAAAACGGGTTTCAAGTTTGAAGTTTAGCTCGTTTTGTCCGGTTAATATAAATCAGCACTGTAGAAAGGAAATCAGAGCAAAAGCAGTTTTTATTCGAAATTCAAAAAGTTATTGCGTCAGAAAATTTTTGTCCCAGCTAAAATGATCTTCGTTGAAAAAATTTGTCACCTATATAAATCTAACTGTTAACAATGAATGACCAGAAGCGGCTTTGCTATTTTTTTTTGAAATCAAAGTGACGTCTGAACAGGTTTTTTATGATATTTCACTTAATCCGCAGTGCGCTTTCTCGCAGGGTATCAAAATTATGAGGAAAAACAATACCAGCTACATCACGGTTTTTTCTCTTCATTTTGTGAAATTCGAAAGGAGATTATAATGATAAACATTTTATTTCAAAATTCAAAAACCTGGAAAAACCTTTGTTGGTCAAAGTGAAATTTCAATCAGCAAAACTTAGGTTCTGATTCAAACTTTCTGTTTTCTTAATTTTTACGCGTAGAAACTTTGTCAATTAGTCATAATCAACAATATTTGTCTTCAAAATATGAATGACAAACGAAAAAAAAAAATTATAAAACTTTTGTTGTCACCAAGTTAAGCATCCCAACTTATTTTTTAAAAAAAATTTTAAGCCTAAAGTCTCAATGAAGTAAATTTTCATATAACGATCGTTACGTTCGCTATACTTGCTCGAACTGAACTAGAAATCAAAGATTTGACACCAATTTTTCTTGTCACTGGGACAACTTTTTGAAAACTTTTAAATGTTCGAATCACGTCTAAAAGGGCTTTAATTTTGTAAATCACTCGGCCCATTCCGATGATTATTTGTGCTACCTGATTTTTACGTGGAAAACAAAAATTAAAAAAAAATTAAAAAAACCTACAAAGTTCCTCCCTATTTTCAATGCTCGGAATAATTAACATTTGAAAACGAGCAATGATCGCTGTACATTTTTTTGTTCCCACTGCTGCGCGTATGTGTAAGAAAGGAAGTGATGTGGATTCAGGCGAAACCTTGCTAAGTCTCATTTGATTGGTGTTGACTTTTTCAGCCACTGTGATCGAAGTGAAAGTGAAAGACTGTGGTCTGTCGATGGTTTACGTGGGGGACAATGGAAAGGGTATTGAGGAAAAAGATTTCGAGTTGATTACTGCTAGTCACGCTACTTCTAAGATACAATGCTTCAAAGGTACGTTTAGCTGTTGATCTGACGTTGGAGTACACAGTTTTTTTTTTCAGTTGTTTGGACAGATTGTTAATGCGAAATGCGAGAAACACGATCTCGATGCCTTATGAAAAGCTGTATTTGAGGGTTTTAGACCAAAAAGGTACTCTCTTGGGCTGGCATTATATTGATCCTTAAAAATGAATTTAAACTTGCTGATCGAATTTCGAAATCATTGAGTGGGTTCCAAAAAGTTATGTTTTAGACAGGCGCGGATCTAGGAATTTCTCGAGGGATGGGGGCGGATTTTCAAAAAAATTTTGTCTAGCTTTTTTTTTTAGGTCGACCAAAGCTTTCCCAAACCACTATAAAGACTCTAATATGACCAAATTTTCTGCGCCGCAGGCAAATTATTGAAACTTAGGCACTTTTAAGGCGTTTTTAGGCATGGACCAAAAAATCGCGTTTTTTTCGGCGCGCGCTCCCCCCTCAAAATTAGTATAGAATGGCGCCTTAAGAAAAATTTTAAGGTGTGTCAGCCAAAAATAGATATCTCAAAGTAGTACAAAGGGGGGACCCTTTGTTTGGGTCGGCAGGGGGTCAAATCCCTGAAGAGGGAAAATGTAGTCCCCCCCCCCCCCCAAACCCAGTGCGAAAAAAGAACCCAGTGCGAAAATAGACAAAACAAATCCAGTGCGAAAATAGAAGTTTTGTTTCGTGTATTTAGACATCGAGGCCGTTGACACTTTTGGGTTCCGTGGCGAGGCTCTAAGCGCCCTTTGTGTATTGAGTGACCTGACAATAACTACAAGACATGCTACAAGTGAAATTGGTCACAGACTTACCTACAATTCTACTGGACAAATAATAAAAACTAGCAGGCTGCCAATGGAAATTGGAACTTCAGTGCAAGCTCAGAATATTTTTGCGCGATTTCCAGTCAGAAGCAAAGATTTGAAAAAGAACATCAAAAAAGAGTATGCGAAGTTTGTTCACACACTTCAAGCATTTGCGATTGGATTCCCAAACATTAAGTTTACATGCATGAATGAAAACGAAGGTAGGCCAAAACAGTTGGTATTGAGCACAAACGGAGACGCAAATTCAAGTCTCAAGATGTCAATAGTTTCAATATTTGGACCTAAACAATGGGATGCACTACTTGAGTGGAAGACCCAACGAATAGCGGAAGAAGAGTTTGCTCAGTTTGGCATTGCGAATTCAGCTCAAATGGACGAAGTTTTCAACTTGGTCGAAATAAGAGGAGTCATTTCTTCACCAGCACATGGCTGTGGTCGAAGTACGCAAGACAGGCAGCTTTTCTTCCTTAACAAACGTTCCTGTGAGCAGCCTAAAATAGCCAAGATTTTAAACGAAGTTTATCATCAGTTCAATACAGCACAATATCCCTTTGTCTGCTTGTTTGTCAACATCGCCCAAGGCAATTTCGATGTGAATGTAACTCCTGACAAAAGAAATATTTTTCTAAAGAATGAGAAAACGCTGCTAGCACTCATCAAATTCAGTGCTCTTCAGTTGTTCAAAGCAAACGCGGGTAATTTTGTCGCTAATCAAATTTCAATGAAGTTTCAAACTTCGAAAGGTCAAACCATGTTTAACAGCCAGCCAACAACTCTGAGCGATACGCTGCGAACGCCTCTTACAGATTCACAGAATACATTGAATAATTTTGTTACAATGTTTTCGAGCCAGCCGAAATCTTCTCAAAATATGCCTACAAAATATGCCTATGCGTTTGAGATAGAGGAAAATTTGCCCTTTTCACAGTCTCAAAAGTTAAATTCTGAGAAACGAGGCTTTAATGCTTTTGCAAGTTCTCCTGAAAAAATTACATCCTGGTCTAAAAAACTGAAAATAGAGCAAATGAGTGACAATATAGACAATGAAAGTTCAGGTTTCTTGATAAATCACCGAGAAAACTGTTTGCATACAGATGGAAATTTGCCACACGAAGTTGAAATTGTTGTTGATGATCAAATTGACCGACGATCTCAAAATTCAAGTCAAAATAACACTTTTGATTTTGATCAAGAGTTTCCTAATAAAATTCCCTTTCATTTACTTTCTATTCGAAAAGAGACAAGCTTTTCATCTCTTGAGAATTTTTACAGCAATTTTTTTGAAAGTGACAAAAATGAAACAGCAGAATCAATTCAACGGAAGTTTGTTTCAAAATTGGATGATAAAAATGCTGAAAATGAATTACGAAGTGTTTTGTCGAAACAGTCTTTTTCGCAAATGCAGGTAATAGGGCAGTTTAATTTAGGTTTCATAATCGCACAACTAGGTTCGGATTTGTTTATTATCGACCAACACGCTTCTGACGAAAAGTACAATTTCGAACAGTTAGAGAGATACTCAAATGTTCCAACGCAAACATTGATTTCTCCTATGAGTATGGAACTTTCTCATGAGTCTTTTAGTTTACTGACGGAAAATATGGACATCTTGCGGAAAAATGGGTTCAATTTTGAGGCTGAAAATGATTGCAAGAATGAAGCGACTGCAATAGCTCCAATGGGATCGAGTTTGAAAGTAGTTAAAATTGTTACCACACCGATGAGTAGAAATTGGTCGTTCGGAATTCGAGATATCGAAGAAATTTTGTATTTGCTAAGCGAAACGCATGAAGGAAACTTAGCCGATAGAAAGTTTATCAGACCATCACGAATCAGACAAATGTTTGCGTCAAGAGCGTGCAGGAAATCAATTATGATTGGACAGCCATTGAAGGAGAGTGAAATGAGGGCTATTTTAATGAACTTGTCGAAAATGGACCACCCATGGAATTGTCCTCACGGGAGACCCACCATGCGACATCTTGTTGATCTGAATTTATACCATTTTGAGTAACGCTTGTTTGGAAATCAACTTAGCAGCATAGTTTTTTGCCTTGTTTGATTTGTTCGATTTTTGTTTTAGTTGTTTGTGATTGCTCAAAAAGATGGAAATAACTTTGAATGATAATTATACCGGATATTTGAGCTCTTCTTGCTTTTAACGTTGATTTGATTAGAAATTAGTTGGTTGCACGTGTTTGGTAATTCATTTTTGAATTTTTCCCAATTTTGTATTTCGTGTGTTCTGGTTTTCAATTTCTTTCCCGGAGTTTTCCTGATTGCATATGAAAAGTTGAAGTCATCTAAGATGTTTGTCAATTGTCAAATTGGCATATAACACTCGGCCTCATTTTGCAGTTGCAAAATAAATTAAGAAAAAAGGGGTGGGGAGGTTCCCATGTATAAAACTTAAAACGCTGGCTTAACGGTCGTGTAAGTATCGGTTGAACTTATCGGCTATGGCTGTCGGCGGCAAGGCTGTTTGAGTGCAGGGTGAGGCTCTCATTGTCGTGAATCATCGTTTGCTGGTTCGTTGCCTTAGTCCGGACTAACAGGCGCTATTCTAATGGCTGGTATTGACACAAGTTTGTCTCCTGTTTTGACGGTGTAAACGCGGGTCTGGTCATCATCGGTTGATTTGTCCTGTGATCCGTCCAATTGGCCAGAGTCCTCGCCATATCCTGAAGAATCCAAACATTTTCTCCTATTTTGATAGGCGGCGTCTTCTATGTCCATCGTTGTCGTGGCAGTAGTGTTGGGATAAACTCCTTGATCAGGCGTTTCCAAATATGGGTTGCCAGTTTCCATTCTCGACTGAGTGTTGAGGGCTGTTGGTTTTGTAGAGGTGCTATGCTTGCATGCGCTCCCTCGAAGAAAATGATTTGGGGCGAGGACTTCAACATCATCGTGCGATGATGAAACTAGTAATGGATCTTGCGTTCACAAAGTGCTCAACTTCGCAAAGAAGGGTGTTGAATATGTCGTCTGTTAGAATCTGGCTTCATACGATGGCATAGAACGCGTCTTTTACTGATCTTATGAGTCGTTTTTAATGAGGAGCATAGGCAGGGTTGAAGTCCATTCAATCTGATGGTTGGCGTAGAATTGTTGTGTAACATCGGCGTCGAAGTGTCTGTTCTTTTTCGGCTGCGGTGAAATTTGTACCATTGTCAGATTTGATAATAAATTAGTTGATTGCACGTGTTTGCTAATTCAGTTTTGAGTTTTCCTAATTTTGTATTTACTGTGTTCTGGTTTTCAATTTCTTTCCCGGAGTTTTCCTGATTGCATATGAAAATTGAAGTCATCTAAGATGGTTGTCAATTGTCATATAACACCGGTTGTTTTTAATTTTGAAAACAGATTTTAATGGGTTGGGATTTTAAATAGTCTTTTTTGCAGGATTTTGTACTAATTCGAATATTAACTTCGAGTGTTTTTAGGTATTCTATTTCGTTTAATGCAAGGTGTAGTTGCGGGTTGGCTGCTGATTTTTAGGACTCTTTTCAACTCCCCCACATTTGAATTTCAGTTTTGAAAAACAAAATCATTTTCACCTTGTCATAATGTATGGTGACCAACGTAACTATTGTGAACACATTTACTCTTCATACCTTGCATTGTAAAATCATGCGTTTTGCATGGTGAACGAGTTAAATGTTATGAACACTTTTGCTCTTCACACTTTGCATTGTAAAATCACTCATTCAGCCATAATAACATGTTAGACAACTAAGAAAATGGAAAATTTGAAATAGTTTCCAACTGAGGGTAACTTAAATCATCATAGCAGCTGTGAAGAAAACGAATAAACAGGGTTAAGTCAAAAGAAATTAGGCGGTAGCCTACCGCCTAATTTCTTTTGACTTAACCCTGTTTATTCGTTTTCTTCACAGCTGCTATGATGATTTAAGTTACCCTCAGTTGGAAACTATTTCAAATTTTCCATTTTCTTAGTTGTCTAACATGTTATTATGGCTGAATGAGTGATTTTACAATGCAAAGTGTGAAGAGCAAAAGTGTTCATAACAATTAACTCGTTCACCATGCAAAACGCATGATTTTACAATGCAAGGTATGAAGAGCAAATGTGTTCACAATAGTTACGTTGGTCAATTTCTTTGGTCACTCATTCAGCCATAATAACATGTTAGACAACTAAGAAAATGGAAAATTTGAAATAGTTTCCAACTGAGGGTAACTTAAATCATCATAGCAGCTGTGAAGAAAACGAATAAACAGGGTTAAGTCAAAAGAAATTAGGCGGTAGTAAGCAGGCGAAAGTTAGTAGGCGAAATTCCTTCATAGTATGTCAACATTGAAAAAGTGACCCCACTAAACGGTGATCGAAAAATTTTAATCAAAAATCAGGAATCGTTTTAATATACTACACTTTTGTCATGGTATTCACAACAGGCGGAATGAATTATGATTAACATAAATCTGGTTGATAATGAGCTTTTTATTTCAGCGTATTTTGTTTTTTGATTTGCTCGAAGCAAGCAGAGCGACTACACTAGTGGACAAGATTAAGCGCAATTTCAGGATTTTATTCTTAAAAATGCCGATTTTCAATGTACATTTTGGACAGCATTTCCTTCGCAGTTCTGAAAATTTTTTACATTGACCGAGAGAAAATGTTCAGAGCTACCATCTGTGGAAGTATCAATATTTTGTTTCAATGACATACCAATGTAATCCGGGTCTGAAAATGCCAGTTTTCTCCATCTGCACTAAGTTTGTTTTTACTTCGCCTGAATAATTAACAAACTTCTGAGTTTAGTAAAAATTTCAGATTAATTGTTTCCATGTTCTCGCTGAGAATGATTGACCTTGCATGATTTTTTTTACCCCGCTCATTCAAGAAAGATTTCACTAGGATGCAAAACTTAGTGCAGTTGGGGAATACTGGCATTTTCAGACCCGAATTACATTGGGAAGTCATTAAAACCAAATATTGATACTTTTCCCAGATGGTAGCTCTAATCATTTGCTCTCGGTCAGTTTAAAAATTTTGTCCAAAATGTACATTGAAAACAGGCATTTAAAAGAATAAAATCCTGAAATTGCTTAATTTTGTGGACTAGTCTATGCAGTTTTTAAATTTTCTTCAGTAAACGTTTTCCTAGTTTTTCTGCGATGTTTGCAGTGGGCGGATTACCTACTGAGTAATAGAATGGTTTCTGAGAAACTTGAGAATACACATTGATGCTGAAATGTTAAATTTTTTCCATTCTTCTTCCTTTTTTGTGGCAATCAGAATTAATAAGCTTCAACATACCATTGATCTATATTCAGTATTTTGTCTATCTATACAATATTTAATTGGCTTTTTACTTGACTCATGTTTAAGAAGTCCCTATGTTGACATGTTTAAGCTTTTTCAACGTATTGTTTCTTGCATGTTTAATGAAAGAATGTTTGCACGTTTCAGCTATATCAGATATTGTAATGCTTAAGAAATTTCATTTGGTGCACGTCTCTATGTTGGTCTGTTAAAGGTCAAAACATTGCAAGGGTTGAAATGTTTACTCAAGTCAACGTTTTAAAATCTGTTGTTGAGCGAATGTTGTAACTCTAATTTTTTTACAATGTTCGTTACATAAAACTACTAAAATTGTTGTTTCACAATTTATTTAACTAAATTGTCCAAGCATGACTGCTCTTTTCGTTTTGGTTTTCGAAATATAGCGTTTTTAAAGATTTTTAAATCAGAGTAGTTTGAAATTCTGAACCCGTCGGAGGGATGGTTTTAGGGTACACTCAGGAGTATCAAATCTAGTATTCAAGTATGGCTGCTCAAATCCTTTTGGTTCTCAAGGTATGGCGTTTTTCATGATTTAAAAAAAAAAATTCAAATTACTTAAAAAAAATTCGAACTTGAAGTTCTCAACCCTATAGTGGGGAGCTGTCAATTTGCGCTCAGGGTTTGAAACACTGGCGTCCAAATATGACTGCTCAACTCTTTTTGGTTTTCTAGATATGGCATTTTTTAATGAATTCTTCAAGTATTTTTTTTAAAAACCTTAGAAAACAAATAACCAACCGAACTTGAAAGTCTCAACCTCATAGTAGGGTGCTGTCAGTACAATCAGGGGTTGTAAAACTCGCGTTGAAGTATGACTGCTCAACTTCTTTTGGTATTCGAGATAAGGCGTTTCTCATGATTTTTTCAATACTTTAAAAAAAAAACATAAATTTTGAAACAAGTACTAGAAATTGAAATTATTAGCCCTGTGTTGGATTGGGGCCAGGGAACAAAATAGGGTATTAAATCTGCGCTTTAATTTTATCTGCTCAAAACATTTTGGTTTCGAGATATGGCGTTTTTTATGAAATAAGAACTTCTAATAGATGAGCTGTTTATCTTCACGGTTGCATTAAATATGGCTGTTCTAGTACATGTTTTTACTAAGCTCTTCTTACGTTCAACGGCGTATTTGAAGTAGTTTAGATGCGACTGATGCGCTAGTAATTTCTACATCATTTTTTTAGACTTACGACAAGCGGGGTGACCAGTGATCAACTTGGCAACTGAATGATATTCAGACTTATTTTTTCGATTCTTCTGTAGTTTTAGTGACCAGTGGAGTGACGTGACGACTCTAATTGTTTTTCAGTGTTGTATTTTAGGTTTTTTTTGCAACAGTAAAGTAACTAATGATTATCTGATGAGTGTCTAGCAGAGGTTTGTTCACATCGCTTTCCGATGTTTGCGACAGGCGGAATGAACGTATAACAATCTGTTATTATATATTTAAATGCGGGCATCGCTACCTCGCCATAATTAAGCTTTTTCGACGTACTATTTTTGCACGTTTAAGCTATATCGTATATTGAAATTAGATTTTTTTCTAAATTAATTTTCCAGCTTGAATTTATTTTTTTTCTTCGAGTTTGAAATCAATAACCCAACAGTGGGATGATATCAGGGTTATTATAGGGGTTGCAAATTGGGCCGCCAAGTTTGAGTACCCAAATCTTTTAACTCTACGAGATACAAAGATTCTTGTGATTTTTTTTGAAAGTTTTCGAGAAAAGTTAGTGAAATATGGCGTTATGTTTTTTTTTTCAAAAATTTTAAAAATATTTTGAAAAATTGAATTTCTCAACTCTTTAGTTGCAAGTTAAGCTTCCAAATATGATTGCTCAAATCCTTTTACTTCCCGAGATTTGACGTTTTTTTTAAATGATTTTTTTCAAAACTGTATTTAGATTTGAC